TTAACAAACAGAAAGCTTAATGTTTCCAAAGATGTTTTAAAACTTTAAAATGTTTTAACAGAACTTCAATATTTAAAGTCAGCGTAGTAAATTTTGAGCTTCTACTTAGAAAATGCATTTATTTTATATATATATATGTATAACATATATTATACATATATCATAATTATATATTAATCACACACACACACACACACACACACACCACCCTGAATGAATAGTGAGAGCATGAGAGCAAATCCCTGCTTTAGACAGTGGGCTGGTATTCAGGTATTAGAGGGCTCAGCTATTATTGGACATTGTTATTAAAAACAAAACACTCAAGAAGTTATTATTATTCCGTAGGGGGAAGTGTTAAATTCTATAAGGTGATGTTTAAATCACTCTTTAAAGGCTCTCTATGAACCAGGGGTCTCCATAAAACAGGACAGTGAGCCAAACCTTACCAATATACATTATACCACTATGGGGTAAATCATGCCTGGGACCCACTAGAGATTGTTAGCACAGGCTCAACTACAAACAGAATCCAAAATATTATTATTTTAAGCCCAAGGCAAGATTATGAACACATCTTCATTGGCATAGACAAGGGTGAGTGGTTAAAATCTAACAGGTCGTCAAAATTCCTTATAACATAACAGGCAAGGGTACTGTGGTATTATTTTGTTTGTGCTCTAATAAATAAAGCTTGCCTGGAGATCCGAGTGTGGAGCTAGCTACTAGAGGCCAAGCAATAGTGGCACACACCTTTAATCCCAGCATTTTGGAGGAGGAAACAGGAAGTGACACGGCTGGGTGGAGAGAAGAAGTGGTAAGATGGGGTGGAGACAGGAGCTCGGCCCTTTCCGTCTGGTCCGAGGATTCTACAGAGCTAAGAAGTCTCTCTAGTAGCTGGCTCCTTAACTTCTCTGATCTTTCAGCATTTACCCCAATATCTGACTCTGGGTTTTTATTAAGACGAATTAGAATTTGTGCTACAGGCTACTGTGGTGGTATTGCGCTCCCCAAAATACTGTGCACCCTAATGAACTTATCTGGGGTCAGAGACAGAACAGCCACTAGATACAAAGGCTAGAAAATAGTGGCACTCACACCTTTAATCCTAGGACTCCAGAGGTAGAAATCCCTCTGGATCTCTGTGAGTTCAAGGCCACATTGGAAATGGCCAGGCATGGTGACACACGCCTTTAATCCCAGAAAGCGAGCCTTTAATCCCAGGGAGTGATGGCAGAAGGCAGAAAGATATATAAGGCGTGAGGACCAGGAACTAGCAGCATTTGGCTGGTTAAGCATTTGGCTGGTTAAGCATTCAGGCTTCTAGCAGCAGTTCAGCTGAGAGGCATTGGGATGAGGACACAGAAGCTTCCAGTCTGAGGAAACAAGACCAGCTGAGAAGTTGGCCAGGTGAGGTTAGCTGTGGCTTGTTCTGTCTCTCTGATCTTCCAGTGTTCACCCCAATACCTGGCTCCAGGTTTGATTTTATTAATAAGACTCTTTAAGATTCCTGCTACAGGCTACCTCATTGCTTTGAATGTACACACTTCCACATTTTAAATGTGTGAACCAAGGATGAAGAATGAACCACAGTCATTTCTTTATGTGTTGGGGATTAAGTACAAGGTCCTGTGCATGTTACATAGGCAGTCTGCCACTGAGCCATGCATCTCTAGCACAACATAGTCAGTTTTAAATATCGGCTCACCATATGCACATGTCAGAAGGTGGCTGCCATTCCTGGTGATTCAACTGCAGAGCCACAAGCCCATAACACTTCAGCCAACAAGTCACTTAGTAGCCATTTGAAGGAAAAATGGGTTGCTGTTCAAGAATCTTCTGCCAACAACCCTGAGAAAGATCAAGAAAATTCCAGCACCTAAACTCAAAAGGATCTGGGTTAAATTTAGAGAACAGACTCTCATAAATGTTCTGTAATGGCATACCTGAAGGTCAGAGAACTTTTGAGGCCAATGGGGTCACAGTTGAACATGAGTCAAAAGTACTGGACACATGTCTATCTACAAAAATGATTACAGAATCATCATGTATTTACTTAGTATTATTTTTTTTAGTGTTTGTACATAACCAGTCTAGGAGGAAAACCAAGGATCTCCTACTCAAAAAGGCTGAAAATACAAGTCCATGAAGGCTGGTTGTCTGGATCCTTGAGCATCCAGTCCTTGAACCAGTATGTCCAGACAGTAGAACATATAATCTAAAAAGATGATTCTATTGCCTTAAGATTTAATGTTTGCCTTGTTGTGTTTGGAGTTCATTGAGAACCTGTAACTCTCTCCTTCTTTTCTATTGTTTCCTTTTGGAATGGGGATATCATTCTGTAGTGGTTTGAATCAGAATGACCCCCATAACCTCATATACTTGAATGTTTGGTTCCCAGTTGGTGGACTGTTCAGAGTGATTAGAAGTATGCCTTGTCACTGAGGGTGCGCTTTGAGCTTTCAAAGGCCCATGCCAGGCCTGGTCTCACTCTTTCTCTGCCTGTATCTTGTAGATAAGACATGGGTTCTCAGCTACTGATCCAATGTCACGCCTGTGTGCCTGCCTGCCTACCTCCATGTTCCCTGTCATGATGTTCATGGACAAGTGTTCTGAAGCTGTAAGCAAGTCCACAATTAATATTTTCTTTTATAAGTTGCTTTGGTCATGGTGTCTCTTCACAGCAAGAGAACAGTGACTAAGACACTCTCGTATTTCTGTCTTACCATTGAATTTTAGAAACATATGTTTTACATCAAGTTTAGAACTTGGGAGCAACTGGTCTTGGGATGAAGCCCATCTTTGACTCTCATATCTGACTAAAATGATGGAAGGGAATCCATACTTAAGACTTTTAAGTTGATACTAGGGTGAGTTAAGACTATGAGAGCTACTGGGATGGAATGAATGGCCAAATGAATGGAAACACATGAACTATGAACCAATGGCTGAGGGGTCCCCACTGGATCAGGCCCTCTGAATGGATGAGACAGTTGATTGGCTTGATCTGTTTGGGAGGCACCCAGGCAGTGGGACCAGATCTTGTGCTCATTGCATGAGTTGGCTGTTTGAAACCTGGGGCCTATGCAGGATTGTTTGGCTCGGCCTGGGAGGAGGGGACTAGACCTACCTGGACTGAGTCTACCAGGTTGACCTCAGTCTGTGGGGAAGGCTTTGCCCTGGAGGAGATGGGAATGGGGGGGGGGGGGTGTTGAGGGGAAGGTGAGGGGGACGGGAGGGGGGAGAACAAGGGAATCCGTGGCTGATATGTAGAACTGAATTGTATTGCAAAATAAATTAATAAAAAAAAAAAAAAAGAAATGAAAGTTAGTAGTTAGACATTACAATAGAAGTTGTAGTCATATTAGATATGTTTTAAAAATTGAGCAGATATATTTTAGACAGGTCATCTTCAAACCCTTCAGAGATCTACAGAATATGGCATTTAAAATGTTTTAATAACTTAGATGAATATATTTCTTATAAACTGGTTTAGGAGAACTCATGTGATTTGAACACACTCCCTCCAAAACTCATATGCCAAGATAATTGTATCAAGAGGTGAGAACTTTTAGAAAAAACCGTGGCTAGGGGGCTCAGGCGTTTTGAATGAGATTAAGACCATCCCAAAGGAGGTTTCACATCTCATTTGCTCTCTTTCCATTCTGCCTTCAGCCATGTGAGGTCATAGTATTTCTCAGCATCCCTACAGAGGGTGCATCTCTCACCAGCAATTAAACCTGCCAACACTTTAGTCTTGGCTTTCCTAACTTCCAGAGCCTTGTAAAAAATAACTGAGGCTTGAGTGTTCTTTAATAGCCCAACTGCACTGGACACCATCTTCAGCTGATCTTCTGACACCTGCAGCACCACCTCCTTTCTGATAACTCTTGCCAATCTGCTCTCCTGGGCTTCTTGATAGATGTCTGTATATTTGATTCTTGCAGTAATTTTGACTTCCAGGCACACATAAAGGTTAAGAAAGTAGGCTTAAAGTAACACTATTGGTACTCAAATTCCAGACTCTTGGTTTTGGGCTATGAGAGTTTGGATTAAGTTACCAAAACCTCAACTTTATCTCAGTTTCTTTAACAATAGAATGGTAATAATTCATAGATGAAAAAGCTTTCACATAGTTATTATGAAGATTATATCAATGGTTTAATTGCCTGATATGTATTAAATGTTCTTTTAACATTGTTCTGCAATGGAATCATGAATATATCATTTTCTGTAATATATTTTGAAATGTTTTTTAATTCATAGGTTACAAACTTCCCTTTCAGGATGCCTGCCTCAGCGCCTTCTATCAGCAAACAATGCCTACCTGTTATATAGTAAGGATATATCTTCCCTCAACATAAGATCTTCTGCCAGTTGGCTTGTATGGTATTTTAAAGGCATGGCCTGACTTTCAAGTGACAGAACAGACTTAGTAGCTTGTGTAAGGTCCCGCAGTCAAGTGTGGGCAGCTGGGATTTGTGTTCAGGTTTGTGAGTCTAACGGCTTGCTGTCTCTCTCTTTCTTACATGTAATCTGTGCATATCAGAGGAAGGAAAGAAAGTAGCCATATAATCACTGCAGGGAACCACGATCCCTTTGAGGTGAAACAATCCTAATTCTCAACAGCTCTGAGGGCCTCGAACCCAGGTCAGAACAACCCTGCACTATTCCTAAATACTCACCTTTCTACTTGTAGGAGGCAGAAGTAACCTTAGAGGAAAAATAATTTCTTAAAGGGACAAAGTCATGGAGCACAAATTTCACATGAATTATGCCAATGCAGAGTGTGTCCAAAGTGCTAAGAGGAAGTTTATCCTTCAAAATATCTTTATATTTTGTCTGGCAGAAACCATAGACTAACATGTAACAGGCAAGTTCATTGACCATAGCATGACCAGCTTTCATTGCAGGAACAGATGGATACTCATAGTTTTAGTTGCAGGAATAGAAGACATGCCTTTGACAATTCAAAATAGAAAAATACAATGAAAAGAAAAATCTTGATTCCAATAGTGTCATTTTATTATTTGGTGTGACTTCATCAATCATTTAATACATAGAGTACATAAAATTTTATTTGATTTTATACAAAAGAAAACAGGAAATCTAGAAGATCTGCATAACAAGGAAAACATGAAAGGTAGATGCCTAACAATGGGAAATGTGGTTGTCCATATCTGGAGGTCAAGGGCATGCTGTCCTAGGAAGACAGAAGCCATTCTGCACATTCCTTGAGAACAGGAAGCACCCTAATAGAACCAACTTCCAGATCTTGAAGTTTAGTTCAGCATAAGCGTTCATTCAATCCTTCATTCATTCACTCAGCAACATTACCAAGCGCCTACAGGGTGCTGAACAATATGCCAGGAATTGAGGAAGTACCAAGTGGGATCAGGCTTAGGGGGAGCAAAACAAAGATGCTCCTGGCCTGGGGGAGGTCATCAAAGACCTCAGGCAACATCACTTGGTGGTTTCCTCCCTAGATGCGCTGTTACGCACAGACCATCTGTTTCTCCAGCCTTGCCCAGAGTGTGTTTGGCAGTTCTGTTCCCTGAATGCTTTTACAGATGGGAGATGGAAGGTGTAAGAGGAAGCGACTTAGACAGCTCTACTCACCAAGAAAGCCAAGGCTGGATTCGGGTTTCTGATTTACAAAGACTTAGGACAAAATTAAATGTTTATTCTTCATTCCAAGCGGCTATTTTTGTGAATGCTGCTGGGTAGATTGAAGAACTTCCAGAAGGGAGTTGAAGTTAAATTGATTGAGCTGATAGGGATGTGAAGGCATGCATCCTGAGTACACAGAGCTCACAACCAGTACTCATTACTCAACCAAGATACAGATGAGATCCCACAGCCATGCTGTTTGTGGTGCAAGAATGTATTTTGAAGTAGAAGATGCTAGCCAAAAAAAAAAAAAAAAAAAAAAGCATCCATAATTACAGGAATCTACTCTGTCCTCAGGGGATGAGTCCAGGAGGGAGCAAGGAGTAACTTCTTCATTCAAAATTGTTTAAGAATTCTCTTTTAAATTAACAAAAATTCTCAGCGGGGTACCAGATGGCCTGGAATGGAACTAGGGCCACTCATTATCCAGATTCAGATGAAAGACGTTTTAGAAGCTGCCTGATGGGAGCTGATTTTTACTAATGACATAAACTATCTATCCTCTAAAAATGCATATTGGTGAGCTCTGCTGCCTGCATATTACCTCCCTAGCTTAAATTTAAAAAAAAAAAAAAAAGAAAGAAAGTGTTTCAATGCTATCTCTCAAGACCATGAATTTTTCTAAAAATGCTTATGAGCTCAAGGAAGATGTGGAGGTGAAATATTGGGTTTCATAGCCTGGTCCTGGTCCTTGGAGGCCCCTGGGACTACATGGATGAGTGCCAAGGCTAAATCATGAACCGACTAAGTTCAAACTCTGTGCACTCTAGAAAGCGAAGTCTTTTTTTTTTTCTTTTAAGATGTCATAGCACTCTTTAAGTATATATACTGGAAAAAAAAACAAGAGTAGAGGTCATGTGAGAAAAAAAAACAACTACATCTTCACTTTAAATTTACTTCCATCTCATATTCAATGTGAACAAAAACAATCACTAGAAATTATCATACAGCACAAAGCATCATCACCAAACTTCAAACTAATATTTTAGGACTATGATAAGCAAATAAAATGATTCTTCGACTTTTCTGGGGTCCTCAAATTCCAAATCAATTATATTTGGGTTTGAGTTCAAGACTTGGTCTGATGATCTCTAAGACATGGCTTTTCTGCAGACGAATTACAACAATTCTCAAGTGGATACAGTGCTGTGGGAGCCACAGCAGACACACATGTAGAGGAACTGCTACAAGAACCCTTCCCACCAACACACCCCACCACTCCTGCTGCATAAGTCACTGCCACTGGGCAGACTCACACAAGGGAAGGTCACTTGGTTCATGTATAACCTTCACACACATCCACTCCAGTGTGTATGATGGACTTACACGTAGCTTTACATGCAGTGTCGGAGATGTTCTTTGCAGTTGGAACTCAGATTATCCAGGCTGACCATTTATCTACCATGACATGAACATGCATAGATTACCAGTTTAAACAATGCTCATACTGTTGCCTTCATCAGAATGTAAAAGATTACAAGAGAGAACAAGGTGGAACCGCTGTGAAAGCCGTGACATTTATTGAAGGGAAAACATATGTTTGCAAATCACAATGCTGTGTACATGACATGGCTCACAACAATGTCCCAATTTGGCTTTTCACAGACTCGTCACATATAGTCCCTCCATAAGAAAAAAAAAAAAAAAAAACCCTGAAAGGGGGAAAACATTATTTTGTCATTATGTTGACAAATCCAAATGGTGGTTTCAATCAGAAAATCTGTGCTTGACCACTAGGAAAGATCCATGTTGACTTCTCAGCCCCATATACAAACCTCTACAGGGAGACAATTTTTGAGTGAATGCCTTTAATAACCCAACTTGTATCTCATAACATACCCAGCCAACAGGGCAGCAGCTGCAAATGAATGGTAGACTGTCTAATATCTGTCTCATTCAACATGCCACCTTGTTTTTGAGAGTATTTCATTTTTGGAGTAAGAAAAAATTCTTCTAATGAAACACATTATACACAATATATCTATAAAAATGTCCAATTTGAATGTTCAAAATTTAACTAATTGGATTTTGGCCCAGTGGAAGAAATTTGAAGAAAACTGTAAAAAAATAAAAAGTAAAACTAAAGAAATAGGGAAAAAAAGTCACACAGCTCTTACTGTAGAATTTAACCATCTATTTTCCTAAAAGGTATCTTGAACAGTAGCCATAAAATATAAAATTTTATTTCCAGAACTTAGACAATTTGAAAGAGAAAATACCTATTTTGATGAGTAGAAAGAGAAAGGTAAGTTCAATCATTTTCCTAAGCTACCTGACTCTTTTCTCCCTTCACATTTAATAGAAATATCTAAACTAATGATTAGTGTTTGTGCAAGGGAGTTACTGGATTTTATGTCATTAGATATTAAGAATGTGAAACTGCAGCAGATTTTAAAATCAAGAATCTAATACTGTAGCTTATCTGATACAGGAATATATAATTAAGGATAAGACCCATTAAAAGTGTAAAATCAGAAAGTTCTAGAAACCAAAGCCTAACTTGCTCTGCTCTTAGCAGCCTGATGTTACTTAGTAAATCATCCATGTACACACCCCTATGGGTTTCTTCTACATTACCAGCTTATCTCATGCAAAAATTTTCCAAGTCTTGCGACTTGGTTGGGACTAAGACTTGGCGATTGGAGGTTGGGTCTTCATTTTTATGTCCCTGACTCCAGTACTCTCCTGTCATTCCCTTGCATCCTGGAAAGTGTGGAATAGTTCATCTACCTGGACAAGCTATTTTCATAACTACTTAGATATCACTCATATTAGATATGAGTGTAGCATTCCCTCCCACATTTTAACTTCACTAACTTCTCTTTTGGTTGTTCGTCAACCCCACTTACTCAAGGGAACTGCTTACAATACTCAGGCTCTAAATGATAAACTATTCAGACACGCTGGTGCCGGTTCTCTCTCTGCTCACTGGTACGACTGGCTTCTCTTGAAAGCTTACAGAAGGGCTGGTTGGTTCCTCATCATATGCGTCATTCTTTGGCTGGATTCACCACAGCTGCAGTGTTGAGGGGAAGCCACTTGAACTCACTGTGCGACACAGTCGTAAAACCACAAACACATACATATGCCACGCTCACTCCCCGAATTCATATACCTGATGCTGTCATAAACACGGGAGTGCTAACAAAATATCTACATGTGTGCCCATGGAACAGTTTCTCCAGGCGAAAACAGTGCTGGCCTTTATGAACTTGATCCCTTTTTAGTGTGTGTGCGTGCGTGTGTGTGGGGGGGGGGGGGGGGGGGGGGGACAGCCTCAAATATTGTCCCATACATGCCATCCACCTTATGTGTGAGAGAAAGACAGGGTCTCTCACTGACTTGGAGCTCATCAAGTAGGCCAGTCTAGCTCCAGGGATCCAACTGTCCCCACCTCCCCATCACGGGATTAAAAGTACTTGTCCTTTTAAAATGAGGATTCTGGGGTCTAACTCAGCCCTGTGTACGAAAGGGCGGCATCTTACCGACTGAGCCATCTCCCTAGCCTATTGTTAAGCCAAATTCTCTGCATTCGGTCACTAATCATGCACTGAACTCCTAGTGTGATAACACAAGGTAGCTTTCCTAAGCCCTTAAGGGGGGGGGGCATATTTAATGAACAGCAGCAGGACATGTCAATATATACATGAATTCTCTGGTTGGTTTTAAGGTAATCTCTTCCACATAAGAAGAAATGAAGAAAATAACTGAAATTCAGGAAGGGGGTAGGGAGAGAGACAGTCAGTGCCCGCTGATGCCGTGCCTGAGCCAAAGACTGAGAATAGATATAAGCTGTAACTCCTAAGCCTCTTAAGTGGAGGAGAGACTTATTTTTGCCATTTTATGGACGAGAGAAAAGAGGCTTTCATTTCAGAATTATTTGCGATGATTCCTCAAGCTCCTCTCGAGCTTGTGCACCTAAGAGGGTCACCACAGGAAAACACCACTGGGAGCATTCTAGAACTTGAACTAGGATTTGAGTAATTTCAAGGGAAAAGCTTAATGCTCGCTGTCATCCTGTAGTTCAACTAACCAACCATGATGCAAATGTCTCTAATCTAAGAAACTGCTTGATCCTCTGGATTGAGAAACTACCATCTTGAATAGCTATAAATTACGTTTCTTCTGAGATTTTTGGTTTTATTCTTTAAATCGTTATTTTCCCTATGTCCAGAAATATCTCTCTTTCCCTCCCTCCTCCTTTTCCTCCCTCACTAATTGTGTTTCTGTGTGTGTGTGTGTGTGTGTGTGTGTGTGTGTGTGTGTGTGTGTGTGTGTGCATGTGTGTGTGTGCGCGCTCGCACATGCGCACTAATGCATAGTCATGCGGAGGCCAGAAGTCAGCTTCAGGTGTCCCTCTGCAGGTATACCTCCTTTTAGCTTTTCTGTTTTGATTGTATGTTTTGAAACAGGGTCCTCATTGGCCTGTGACTCACCAAGTAGGCTAGGATGACCAGCCAGCAAGCCCCAGGGGTCTGCTGTCCCGTCCTCCCCAGTGTTGGCAATATAAGTGCATACCACCACACCTGACTTCTTTACCTGGTAGAGTCTAGGGCTCAAACACTGGTCCTCATGCTTGCATGGCACAAACTTGACTAACTGGGCTATATCCATATAGTCCCTTCTATTCATTTTGTTTTGTTCTGATTTGTTTATTGAGACAGAATCTCACTATACAGCCCAGGCTACCCTTGGACTTGGAATTCTGCTGGGATTACACATGTGTGCTGTCATACTTGAGAAAGCAACATTTTGCATGATTAAGATTTCTTTATACATTCTCCGATGATTTCTTTAAGAAGAAAAAAATTTTGCTATCATTCTCTATACCTCTCAGTGTTATGAAATAAGACCCTGTCACTTATGTGTTATCTGAAGGGAGAACTATGAATTAACATGATCAAGACATGAGTCTTGCTGTCTTATTTTCATCTTTCACATTCAGATATTAAGGAAATCACCAGTGTTTAGATAAAATGAAAAGACACAGTGAGAAATTGACTCTTCCTAAAGATTAGTCACGAAAGATACAATTCAAGGTCAGAATTCCCTTGATATGCTGTCTTACCTCATCTTGACTTAATGCACAGGGGCTAGCAAGCTTCTTTTCACTGACTCTCTTCACAGAGTTTTATTCTTCTATCTTTACCTAAGAAGTCTTTCAGACCCGCTGGTGAGTCTACCATTTTAAACTGTGACTCATAATTAAGGTAGGTTATTGTTAATTTCAAATTCCAATAGTGGCATAGAGACAAGATTTAAATTTAGCCAAATGATTGAAGTCAGACATCATTCAAATGGAATATAAAACTTGAAAAGACATGAGAGCCCTTTTGGTTGCAGAGGATTCAATTCTTATTGCCTCTAGGGTAAATAATAGATTTTTTTTTTCAGAAATTGGGTCCTTGCTAGCCACAGCTCAACAAATGCATGCAAATGTACATCTGTGAAATAAATCTGTCACAGATGTGGCACCTGGAAATGAGGTCTCAACCAGGAAGCCATTCATTATCACAATAAATCATATCAGTAATCTATGCAGACACCCACACCTCTTAAAAAAAAGTCTAACAGGTATTTTAAAGACCAGCTTATTTGAAAAGGTGATGAGTGTTTGATTGTATGTAGCACAGAAGGAACAACTCACACATACTCTAAGAAGCTAATTTCCTTACATTTGTATTTAATCTCGAGAAAGGCTTTGCATGGTGCCTAAATTTACCTCTGAAGGCAGCTTGAGTGTTTGAACTTTATACTTTAAAAACAGTATTGTGCCATGAATGCCTTTGGAACTCTAAGCCTTTCTTAATTGCCTACTTATTCCCAGAGACAAGGTGAATGTCAGTCTCTTGCCTTTAAAAGTTTCCTGTTCTTGTCCATGATTACAGTGACACAAGCTTGCATCTTTGATGTCCTTCTGCGTAGTGAAGGGACGATTCTGCAATACAGAACAGCTGGCAGGCTCTCTAAACTCGCCAGCCCCAGAAGCCTGCCAGCACTGTTAAACCGCCCATAGCCTTCTCTCCCTTAAGTTCAGGCTCCGTTGTCACTGTTGGATTTTCTTAGCAGAAAATCAAACTACCGACACCCAAAGGAAATAATGACGAGAAAAAAAAAAAATCTCTAGAGGCATCCTAATTTTCTTACTCCCACTCAATTTCCTCTGTCCTCCTCCAGTCCAGGTTCATGGACAAGTCCTCTTACCTGTTGCCACAGTCTCTGGCCCCAAACTGGTGTCAGAAGCCTACTAAAGAGAGGGAGACAAGGCATCTTGGGAAGGGGGAGGCTGGAGAAGTCTCCAGGCAAGGAAGAATAAAACAGCTGACAGGTCTTCAATATCATGTCAGGACATGATACTCTTAACAGCCACACCTCTACCACATTAAATTTTAAGTCAAGCCGGGCAGTGGTGGTGCACGCCTTTAATCCCAGCACTCAGGAGGCAGAGGCAGGCGGATCTTTGTGAGTTCGAGGCCAGCCTGGGCTACAGAGCGAGTTCCAGGAAAGGCGCAAAGCTACACAGAGAAACCCTGTCTCGAAAAAAAAAAATTAAAAGTCAGAAAATAATTTCTTCCTTAATCTGTCAGTGTTGTGGTTATACTCATATGTGAAATTACTATATAAAGCACCTAAAATAAGAGTTCCTTCACCAAACTACTTTATATAGAATTATATGAAACATCATAGCTTAATGAAAACAGAGCTCTATGCAAAGTAAAATAACATGTATGTTAAAATATAAGATGAAAGTTACTGTTCTCGAGATAGAGGCTAATTTGAAAGTGGTATAATTAATTAGCTATTGTAAGAAACCGACTTTTGTATAGTATACTCAAATTTAGTAATTACCCACAAGCCTTAATCAACCCCATCTAGTATGATGAAAAATTCAAAGAGCAAAGGAGAGAAATTCCAAGAGACGTATCAGACTTCTTCCCACATGGAGTATCCTTTTAAAACCAAGTTCAATATCTTTTCATGGGCGCTATGTCGCCACCTTATTACTAGCTACAAGTAAGTGGTTCAGCTTACTAAGTTGATTATTCCAGAATTTTCCAAGCAAGACATTTAAGCTGATGAGTGCTTCCAGAGTCACCATCCAGTTCCCTTTGTGAAAGAAGATTCTAAATATTCCCTTTTCAGTCTTCAGCACCTCATCAGTCCTCCACGGGCTCTCAAAAATGATATCTAGCGGTTCTGTGATGACTTCGGCCAATTCATTAAGTACTCTAGGATGCCAGCCATTGGGACCTGTGGATTTGAACATATCTGCGTTACTGCGGTTCTGTTTTACCCATCCTTCCCCGAGTCCATCACGGATGCCTGTTCCTGTCTTCAAGCCAGGCTTGTACCTTTCTGGTTACCATGTAGACTTTTGAAAAACAGCATTCAATGCTTCTGCTTCTCACACATTCATTTTCTCTTTTAAGATAATAAATGGAAAATGCATTATATTCTTCTGAAGCCTTTGGCTTATTTTTAAATGGTCCAATTTTTTTTTCTTACATGTCCCTTGTAAGAAAAGGAAAATGAAAACCTCAAATCTACCTTGTAGTAGCTCTGATTTCTCAATCACATTGTTCAATGCACGCATTAGCAACTTTTAATCACAGAGCCTAAGTCGACATCCTGCAGATGCTCCAAATGCTAATGGTTGGTTGCCTGTCTCATATGCAAAGGGAACTTTTGTATTCAACTTGTAACCGTAGATGCTAGTGCTAGTTCAGAATGAATGCATCTTCCAAAATAAAGACGACTCACAATCATCTTTAATCATCATTTGTATGCATAAACAATGACTTCTTCTGCAAGGCATTTCAGAAGCGTGAGCTGGAGGTATATGAATAAGGATTTCTGTGAAAGCAATAGCCTAGCAGAATGCACTTCCTGTGTGGTCATTGGCTTCTAGGGCCTCAGGTTTACATTACATGAATCATCTCCAAGTTCTGACAGGTGTTGACACTCTTCACCCCTTTATTGTCACACTGACTCCCTTGAAACTGAAAGACAGCCGCTGATGATAGCTTTCTGCCCATCCATAACACTCTGCCATGTGCCGAGAAGCCCCTGCGGGCCCAGGATGGACAAAGGAGAAGAAAGGAGCACTTAAAGGGACAAAGGAACCTGAGACTTGTCCCTGGTTTGGGGGTTTCTTGGATCCGACTGTTTGGTTTGGAGTTTTTTTGTTTCGGGTTTGTTGTTGTTGTTGTTGTTGATTAGAAAAAGGTTCTTTGAGGGAAGGTTGTATATGTTGTCTTTTTCCACTCTGTCTCACTCCACCCTTATACTGAAGTTTATTCTTTGAAACTTAGGAATGCCCCCCCCCCCCCCCCGCAAACGCGAGTCATAGTGCAGATTCCATGAAGACTCCTTTAAAGAGCAATTCCACACATCTAAGATTTTTCTCAGAACATGGCATTCTCACCCTTGCTCTACAGCGGCCACCTGCTGACGGCCACCTGTAGCTAATATGTCCTTATCTGTTCGTCTGAGAGACACCATCAGGCAACCTAGGCTGATAGGAAGTTTTACTGACCAAGCTTAACCATTCTCCTTTCCAGAGAGAAAACTATTTGTAGTCCTGTGATTTTGTATTTGGCTCTAACTCTAAGAAAATATTACTAATAATTAATATATTCAAAAAGTCACCTTTTAAATATCTAGCCTAATTTAATACCTCTATTAAAAATCACTTCCTGTTACAATCTGTGGTGGAGTCATCTTTAATCTATCTTGACAAGCGAAGTTGTTGGGATGGTCTGAAGGAAGGGAGGGGACTAAGTTGAATCCTAGAGAGGGGAGATCATTGAAACACAGGAGGAGTTGTTTTTATCATTCTGTAATGCTGTAGTAAACAAACAAACGACAGGATATTAACAACACCTATTATATTTACTGTGTGTGTGACACAGACAGCTGGCTGTTGGTATCAGGAAGAAGAGCAAGAATCAGAAAGAGCCTCAAGTCAGGATGTTGGCGGTCACTAGGAAGAAGACAGATACTGGCTGAGAAAGAACAGGTCCCTTATACACCTGCCCGAGACTAGGCAGAACTCTGGATGAAGTTAGCCAACTGGCCTTCCCGGTCTCACGTGTTCCAGGAACATATGAAGAGAGTAGATGCCTTGGACAAGTTATCAGCCTTCAAGTTTTGACAGTCTCACATTAAACTTATTTGGACACTGGGAGGGAACATGAAGTCATTTCACAAATCTAACCACATGCCAATAGCCTCCAAAATCCCTCTTGCCTTGGGTTCCACAAAAGCAAAGCAAATTCATTCTGCAAGCTGAGTCTTGCAATTTGCTAGTTTTCCTTCCTGAGGGAAGAGGGTGGGAGGCTGACAAACAGGATTTCCACAGCTGGGTCATGGAGAGCTTCAAGTTGGGAGAGCAGCCACAGAGAGCAGTAATTAGCAGGGCCCGTGTTGCATCATGACTTGGGAAATGTTAATATTTTCCCTGTTACCAATGCCCTTAGTGCTCTGATGGCTGAGACACATTGTGACATCCCACAGCCTAGTCCTCACAGGTCCCACTCAAATGAGCAGACTCAGAACCCTGACTAGCTAAGCAAACAATGAAGACATCTTAGGGGCAAACATGCATTCAGTAGTACAGTTCTCATATCTTCCTTTTTTTTTTTTTCATTGTTCATTTTCCGTCTAAACTACCTGGCATTTTCCTACAATGAAAAATGGGTCTCTCTTCATTCCACCTAGCAACGTATCAATATATTTGATTGATATATATTGATATCATATCATATAAATCATAGTCCTTTGTGTCTTTTTCCTTGGTTAGTGAGCAAGGTTGACTTAACAGTCATGAAAGTGAGATGAAGATGTGTCTCCATGGTAGAGTGCTCACCTAACATTATGAGGTATGGACTTCAAGAAATGAAGCCTAATTGTCATGCTAGAAACCCCATCCAATGACTGAGGGAAGCGGATGCAGAGAGCCACGAGCCACGGCCAGGCCCCAGGTGGAGCTCCAGGAGTCCAATTGGCGAGAAAGAGGAGGGTTTGTATGAGCGAGAATTTTTGAGACCAAGGTTGGATAAAGCACAGGGACCAATAGCCAAACAAACGGAAACACATGAACTATGAACCAATAGCTGAGGAGCCCGCAACTGGATCAGGCCCTCTGGATAAGTAAGACAGTTGATTAGCTTGATCTGTTTGGGAGGCATCCAGGCAATGGGACCAGGTCCTGTACTCAGTGCATGAGTTGGCTGTTTGGAACCTGGGGCTTATGCAGGGACACTTTGCCCAGCCTGGGAGGAGGGGACTGGACCTGCCTGGACTGAATCTACCAGGTTGAACTCAATCCTCAGGGGAGTCTTTGCCCTGGAGGAGATGGGAATGGGGGTGGGCTGGGGGGAAGGCAGCAGGGGGGGGAGAGGGGGGAGGAGAACAAGGGAATCCATGGCTGTTATGTAAAATTAATTTAAATTATAAACGAAAAAAAAAGAAATGAAGATAAGAATCATGAATGTAATCTTGTATCTGGTATGTTCTCAAACTTCTTCAAATCCAACTTCAGGAAGAATGAATACCGCATTGTTTTCGGGTCTTAATACACAGGAAAATCCAAGATGAGTTTGAAGGAAGGGAGGGTGGGAGCAAGGGAGGTAGAGGGAGGGGGGAAAAGGAGGGAGAGGGAGAGACAGACAGACAGACAGACAGACAGAGACAGAGAATATTAAATTTCCTGCGGGGTGTGGTAATACATCTCTGTTATCCTACCACTTGGGAAATAGAGGCAGACTGGTCTCTGTAATAGAGACCAGCATGGTCTACATAGTAAGTTCTAGACTAGCCAAGGCTGTAGAGCGAGTCTCTGCCTTAAAAGAATAAGATAAATTTAAAATTAATTCTAACAATTTTAAAAGATGGCCAACAGCTTGTTTCCAGCCGGTTAGATTATCATCTCTAAATCCCTAGGCCAGCACTGCTGAATGGTTACATCCTAGTGGGTCAGTTCTGTTTCTCTCCTCCCTGATTTAGAGAGCATGCCTCAGTCTTCACAGGAGAGACCCCCAGGCCTAGTTCTTGGGCTGCACTGACTCTTTCTCAGTCATATCTGTTCTAGGTTTGGGTGGGGGCTCCTTCTTCAAGGATCTGGCTGTTACCCCCTCTGCATCTCTACCAACGCTGTTAACTGTAATCTGAGAAACACAGCGCATGCTCGGGCCATGGGGTTGGGGTGGGACGCCGGTCCAGACGGCGACAGGAAACACAGCTGAACCCAGAAAGAAACCACTATTCTGTACTTAAAAATCAAGAGAGCTGAGATCTGATTTTTCTCAGTTTGATTATTCTGATTTTTAGCCAATTTCAAGCCTGTTACTCTTTTGAGCTCGAGGTTCTTCCCCTAATTACAGGCAATCAGAGCTCTGTGCAAGCTAACCCAGCCTGAGAAGTTAGTCTCAACTTTGACAGTACTCTAAAGAAACAACCACAGAGGCACACATGCTCCATATTTAATTCCTCAAAAAAAAAAAAAAGTACTCTTCCTGAACAATTATCTTTCCTGTCATGGGGAGGAGGGGGTGGAGGGGGGTGTCACTGTTAATACTATCTCCTAGATGATAACAGACGAAAACCAAAGTTGAAAATCTAGATAGCTGGTGACAGTTTTTGTTTTGTTTTGTTTTTAACCTCAGGACCTAACTACAGCTAAGGTTTTTTTGATATTCAGCCATGGCATACTGGCCGTTATTATTGGACTGAAGAAGGTAGGGCTCTCCTTTGAGAGGAGACAAGTACAGCTCGGTTTTCGCTGTAAAGTTCTCTGAGCACAGAGCCTACATGTCAGACCTCCGTCTTTCTCCCGCAGGAATGCTGTCTCTGTGTTTGTCCACTGTTATGATTTCACTACAACCATCTATATTATCATTCTTACACACAAGTTCTCATCAAAACAAGCTCCTGTTGTAGAATTTGAACCTAGAAAGTCAGATGGGATTCCATTTCCATTCCTTCACCTGCATAGAGAAAAAGTGATGTGGATCCACATCGTGGGTCTTGCTGGTCATTTTTGGTTCCCTTCAGCATTCTGCTTGGGGCTGCTCAGGCTGGCCTCTGGCCCCAACAGAAAAGATGATGGGATGGGATGTTGTAAAAGAGCTGCCATATAAAACACTTTTACCAGTCTTTTATACTAGGGATTCTTACAGAGTGGATTTCCTCAGATTCTATAGACTAGAAGAACCATTTTTTTTTTCTTTAGAAACAAACACCTAAATGTC